TACGACATCAATTTTAACCCACCTATTACGACAGAAATCATCAATGGAGTCACTTCTCTGAAAAACAGGAAGGCTCCTGAAGAAGACGGGATACCACCAGAGTTATTCAAAGCAAGCTTACCAACTGTGATTGGTTCGCTGTACTCCCTTTTTCACACCATTTGGGAAAGAAAAGTTTTTCCCAAAGATTGGACGGCTTCAATTTTAGTCCCGGTTCCAAAAAAAGGACAGATCTAGATGGGAAAACTACAGAAGTATTAGCCTCAGTGATATTGCGGCCAAATTGTTTGCAGTGATACTGCTTAATCGCTTCGCAGTCGTCAGAGATACCCGCACTCTCCCAAAACAAGGGGGTTGTGTTGAACAAATCCTCACTCTCCGTAGGATTCTGGTACACAGCTACAAGTTCCAACAGCCTACCACAGGATGTTTCATTGACTTCCACGCTACGTTTGACTCTGTCGATAGAGAATCTTTGTGGTGCATATTGCGGTCCGACGGGATGCCTGAGAAGTTCATCAGGTTGTTAAAGTCATACTACTCAGGAACCCGGACAAGCGTCCGTACCTATGGAGAAGAATCAGTTGAGTTTACCCTAAGGTCTGGAGTCAGGCAAGGTTGTCCCCCATCGCCGGTGTTATTCAATAACACCGTAGATTGAATAATGTGACAAGCACTCATCGACTACCCAGGAGCGCAGCTGAGCCCAGATACATGGATTGCTGACCTCGAGTTCGCGGATGATGTCGTTGTACTTGGAGATACCATGGACAGCCTCCAGCCTGTTGTCAATCGTATAAATCAGTTTGCCCAGGCCATTTGGCTAGAGATCAACACGTCGAGAACGAAGATATTTTCGACCGAAACTTCTGCCATGACACAATCCCTCGATTACCGGGGAGGTTGACGAATCGACCGAATTTTTCAATTATCTTGGCTCTACAATAAGACCAAACGGCCAGGCTAAGAATGAAATCCAAGTTCGTGTAGATGGAGCTAAAAGAGCCTTCCTATAACTCCTTAAACCGTTGTGGAGTCGATGCGAAATAAGCTTAAACACTAAGCTTCGGGCTTCCATCCGCCCCATCTTCACTTATGGTTGTGAAACCTGGCCTATGAGCGTACAATATACAAGGCAGCTCGAAGTCTTTGATCATTGGTGCGTACACCGCATCTTGAAAGTAACTTGGAGAGATCGGATTTCCAGGGATGAGGTTCGATGACGCTATTTGAACATTGACAAGCTTTCAAAAATGCTACAACACCGGCGCCTTCAGTGGTTTGGCCATGTGCTCCGAAGGCCCACGCTCAACTTTCGCGACAGGCCCCCTGCACCGTGTTGTGGATAGTGTTGCCGACCCGGTGGTCAACTGAAGACTTGGAGCAGTACGATCAAGGCGAATTCGGAATTACCGGACCTCTAATCCGTATATGGAATTCGTAACCGATACCAGATCTGGGTTTCACACTGCGTCAACCTTGCTACCGATTGTCATGCTTTGGTCGCCAGCATTAGAGACATCCAAGAAGCCGACTGATCCTCCAGCAGGAGTTAGTCGATCAAAAGTAAAAGTAAAAAGTAAGTATGACTACGTGAGCAACGCGGAAGGTTATGCATCTTCTGGTGGGTTGGATTTGGTTGACCAGACACGTAGGTGAAATCAAAGGGGTTTTCAGTTAAAAATGAATCACGTTGTTCCGAGTTGATTCACTTTAGTAAGTAGTTTGAGTGTTTGTGGTATTGCCGTGCTTTTTTCAAGCGAAATAAACACTGTNCACTGTAAGAGATGGTTTACATGATCTGACTGTTGCATTACTGCATGTTTTCATTTGTGTTATGATGTAAACGTAACACTTTACCGTAATCTTCGAGGCTGTCGCGGAGCCAGAAGTTCAAATGGCTTATTGGTTTGGTGTGCAAAGTCTTGCAGTCGAATAATCGCTAAATAGATCAACTTGTTGTTGGATGTCTTACTGTATGTGGAAAATTCGATCTACGTACAACAGGGAAGCTAAGGTCAGCGCAGTGTTCTTGCTTAGCATTTATCATACACTGTTCTCCCTGCCTTGCGTTACATGAATTTGCATTACCACTGTTTTATCTCCACACTACGTGTGCTATTTTGCAATCTCCTCGAATCTGTCGCCTCGGTTCCATCAACCAAACCATAGCGAAAGCGAAAAATTGCAAGCCTAGAGACTACATATTTAACCCTGTTTCAATCGTAGTCCGTGTAGCAGAGTTCTTATGCGGTTGTCTTTTTATTGCATAATCCGTGACTGGTGATCATGCGAGGCGCAGAGAGAGGAATAAACAGTTCTCGGATCTGTATATGCAATGGCCTTATTGTTATGGCTATATATGCAACTGCGATAGTTGATTAGTGGATTACTTTTCCTACTTAGGTAGTTCGCTTCACTATATTTCGCTGTACGATGATGATGATAGTTGAATATTCATTTGAACTTGGCATATCGGTCCCCTTCGACAAATAAGTGTATTTCATCTGGAGAAGTGCAAATCGGTGTCTTACATACATTAGGATCAGAATGCGATTTCATTCTTTCTTTTACTACATCACAGTGAACAGTGAAAGTGGTGAATCACATTGTCACGAAGACCCGTTTGGTCATCAGAACCGATGAATTATATTAGGCCACAAATGGGTAGGTGTTGTATTGAGCCAAACAACGACTAACCAGCCCACCACCATGATCGTTCATTCACTGTGGAGGATTCTCTACATGCAATTATGCGCTACTGTTTTATTTGGCGCTTGAAACATTTCGTATGAAAAAGCTGTTTATTTGTGACCTTTTTACCTATGGTGAGTAACATTTGAATACTCTTCCACCCCGAAGAAAATAATGTTTGTTTTAAGAATTCATGTTTGGAATTCCTCTTCTTGTTCACTTTTTGTGCTGTTCAGTTGAATGACCGCGGTAGTGGAATGAGCTATCAAACCTCCGTTCAGGCGTTCAAGTACACTTTCACCACAGCATCCCATTTGGGCCCACTAGTTGATGATGAGCAAGACTGCGTTCCAACTAGTCGACTTGGTGTTGATCCGGAAAGGGCCACTTACTCCCCTTTGGCTGGTCGCGGTCATGGCCTACCTCTAAGTCGATTGTACGCTCGATATTTGGGTGGTGAACTAGCCCTCAATTCGGTTGAGGGGTATGGCAGTTCTGCTCTGATCTACTTGAAACGCTTACCCGAGACGGCAAATGAACTTCTACCGCTCTTCACTCGAACAACTCGGGCATTTTATCAATGTTCGGACTCCGGTGAAGATTGGATCTCCGGATCTGCGATACGCAATGATGAAAATGGATTCCGTCCGAGTTTGAACCCTTGAATTGTAGTTTATCTTCCGCACTTGTGTTCCGCCATGTTTACTTGCATACAGTCTAGGGGGACAGCAGTCACCAACTCATCAAATCAATTGGGCTCGTGCTCATCATTCTTCTTTCGGCATCCTGTTCGTCCTGTTCCACACACTTTCGTCGTACACTTTTGCTGCTTTTTCATCTCACCTCAGTGCTTTCATTCGTTGGTCAAACAAATACACTCTGTTCCGTTGATCTTTCCTGCGCCCATTACTAAGTACCGGTAATCTCATCCGTTCGGCAGAAGCGTCTATACATACAACAAAAATCCGCATAGGCACCTTATCTTGTTTGTACAAAGAATAAATCGCTTGCATTTGCCTATTTATTATTACACTCATTCTTTTCACGGTCCTACGTGATTGGTACCGTGTATGTGTATGTACAGTATTGTACAGTTCAAGACATCATCTGCTACACCACGGATCACACCACCTGTCTCTCGCTAGTGGACCTGAGTCCTCTGCGGAGACTGGCTGGTGATCAACTTCCAACCGATAGCCCCTGTGTATACGTATTCACTTTTCTCCATGCGCTGGCTGAATATGTAGCCATTATTTTTTTGGTCCCCGTCTTTGTTTTGATTGGGCCTCATCCGACCCACTCTTTTGTATGGCTAAATTGAACCCCATCTTCTTTCACCTACCCAAATCCAGCATAGCATACACTTGGGATACCGAACCCGTCCGTTGTCCTTCAATCATGCATGAGACTTTTCAGCCGGGGTTTTGTTTACTCAAAAAAGCCACAGACAGATTTTTCTTATCAGTAATTTTATTGTTAAGACCACTTTCATTAAAAAACGATAGCCTAACAAAATGTGATGTTTTCGATCCTTCTGATCTGTATCGTAATCGATTTTTTATGTGTATTATATTGACTAGGACAATTGGGCGGTCATTAAAAACAGATAGGTATCTGGAATGAGGAATTATGGTTGTCTGACAAAACTGGGACATTGGGATATTATATATACAAAACACTAGTACATGTATCTCCTCATTTTGAGTGGCACAATTAGATTGCGCAGATGTTGGAAGTTCTTTGTTGCACTAGAGAGGGACATCTGGTTCGAAGTTTTTAATCAACATCAATTATCTATTCCAATTGAAACCTTTAATTGGATTCTGCGGTCGAACAGCTGTGTTTTGGATGAGATAAAAGTCCTTTAAAACATTGGGTTTGGGTACAAAAGATACAGGAGTAGTAACATGGCGCTTGTCATCCAAAAGAACAAAAACAGTACGGACTACAGTTTAAAATTTTCAGATGTTCAATGAAAACACTGATTCATTCGTGGATGTTGAATGAAACAGGCTAGTTATGAACTATTTTGTTATCCACGTGAAGAATATGTTCTGTAGGAGGGTGGGTGGATGGGTTATTGATTTGTTGGCTGTGCAAAGTAGAGATAAAGTGTCCAAAAAACGCGCACCTATTTGAATGCTACCCATCTGTTGTGAATCCGTCATTCCGGTAATGGCTGATTTCCGCGTTTCGTTTCACCGCTCAGTTTACTCATTCATTGATACATGAATTACGTGGTGCGTGTTTTTCGTTATAAACAAATCCCTTGCCTTGTAAGTTGATCCAGGTCTAGTCAGAAATAAGGGCCATCTTGCTATAAAGGTGATCGCATCTACGCCGAAGACAACTATTCGCATGAATAGTAGACGATGGATCGAAATGGACAGGTTTGTTTTTGAGGACCGAAAATGTTGGTTATGAAGGCCAATTCTGACTGCTTTTGATTGAAGTAAGTTTTCACCTTTGCTTTAATGTGAACACGAAAAATACATTTGTTCAACGATTGGACGTCTACTGCCATGTGAGCAGAAACTTCGAAGACTTGAAAAGTGCACCGTACTTTTAAGGCTGGGATATAATAAGCCAGAACGAATCCAAGCAAACCGTTACACCTGACACTAGGTAATACTGTTTTGGTTTCTTATGTCGGTCAGTTTAAACGCTGCTTGATGGCTCGCCTATGAGCTGCACACAGCAGATTAATGTCACAGACACTTGAATGGGCGGTAAACGCAAGAAGTATTAACCAACTGCATCAGAAGTGGTGATGAGATTCGAACCCGGTAGTCACGTACACTTTGTACAGTTTTGCGCTCTACCAGCTGGCTTTAAAGAATGCATTGATAGTTATGATCTCTCCAAGTTAGATTACGCACCCAGGTTACGTGAACAGTCAGCATGCAAGCAGGTTTTCCGTAGAACTTCACTGGATAAACTATTAGGCAAATAAATAGTTCATTGACAGGTTTTTGGTGAGCATGACGAACATTTGCTATAAATCTCCGTGCACATTCACGTTTGGTCCTGGAAACGATACTCCTACAAATTAAACAAGAAAAAATGTACCGTGCCCACGTCATGTGTGAGTCGGCTGCCCTAATAGCAGTTCCGTAGAATCAGTCGGAGGAACTCAATGGCAAGGTAAGGTGTTTAATTTTTTCACATGAAGTGTCTATCAGAAACGTGCCAACTCACTGTCACTTGTCAAATTGGAATAATAAGTATGGTAACGGAGCAGAACTGATCGTCGCTCCGTGACTCGCCTTTTTAATTCTTGGTGAGTGATGCACAAATGGAAGAATAAAGAGTAGCCATCACTTTGCACCATTTCACTAGTTAGTCGGAGAAGTATGCCGATCAAGAATAACCAAGCTCGTGTTCAACAACTAACCAAAAATCAACAGTTACGGTGATTATTGGTTCCAAATAACGGGCAATAATAGGTCAGGAGAATGGAAAATTCTTTAATTGGTGCTATCGTACTCGGATCACGAGAGTGTGTAATGAAATCGCCGACTGTTTAACATTTGCAGGATCCAAATTAGAACAAGGAGCAGGAGAAATTTTTCAAGCGGAATTCCCTTATTCAAATGGGTGGAGGGAGACCTGTCAGTGGACAGGATTCTGCTGCCCCGCGATAGCTACATCACGTATATTGAGATGCGTCGACCCTGTTGATAACTTCTTTTGATTTCAGTGAAATGTTCCCGAATGTGGGGGTGTCTAATCATTCGCTTAAAACGACTCACACTCAGGCCTCCCCGCCACGGTAATAATGTGATGTGAACAGCAACGTTTTGAATGACCTTGATGCATCGAAAACCATTAAATGTTTGATGTTCTGCTTTAATTGTTTGACTCGTGCAAGAAACAAGTCGTGCAGAGTGTTGTCAACCTGGTGTGCGATTGGTAAGCGAAGCGAAGCTGTGCAACGTGACGATTCACAGCCTGAAGAGACCAGTACTACGTCACATGCGTGTCTACACGTTCAACATCATTTGACACTGCAATGGAACCACACCCACTACACGCACAGCTGTTTCATCGATCATGTCGGTGATGATTGCTAGACCAGTCTTTCAGCTAGTGTTGTTTTTCATACAGCAACTGCAGCTCGTAGAGACAAAAGCGAGTTTTTAATTTAACTGTAAATTTGCGATCAAAGTGTTGGAAATTGTTTTGTCAGTTTTTTCTTAGGAAAAGTCCATGCTCACTCAAGATGATTCGCGGCCTGGGGTAAATGTTTTGGTATGCTTAAGATAGTATCTCTAACAGCTGGGGGAAAGCTCAATGCGTGAAATTGGTAGGTTATGCTCTGGTCGAAATCGGTAAATACCATATGACTGTACCGAAAATAAACCTGTATCTACGAACGACTTTCATGGATGGAACTGTACAACAATCGCGATTCGTTTTAATGATTTTCCGAGGAATTAGTCGATGAGATTTGAAACGTGACAAACAAAGGATTGTTTGTAATACGAATAAATATCATCTTACGAACATACAAAGTCAAACATATTATCTCTCGTGACGGTAGTCACAAACAAATCGATAGATGGACTAGAATATCCACCAAAATACCACTGGAATCGATGGACTTGCGATTCAATTACTGTGTTGTCCCATTGGCTTGGCATCCATTTCACGCGACAGTTTCCGAAAATCGAAATTCGATCTAACAAAACGAAAGCACACGCAGACCATGACTGTCACATCTCGAGGGGCAACGCCAAGTATCGATTAGTCTCTGCCCCATGCAGACATTTATTGCCTGCTCTGGTAAACGTGTACTTATCATCACAGTTTGTTCTATGTGGGATCTGGGGTCAAAAATGAGCTCGTGTATTTCACAGATTTCTTGTGTGATCCGCCCGACTCACAATGGATTGTTTTTGCGCAAAACGAATCGCAGCTCGTGGTTTCAATCCCCTAATGAAGTAGTTATATGCCTCTTATATCATGACAATGATTTTCTTACGGTTTCATGCATCCCAGTCCATTCAGACCGCAATCGTAACGAGTCATTCAGCAATTAAGCTCAACCAGAAGGTTAATTAGGGTTTAACTATATACCACAATGTTTTAGCCTAAGTGAAAACAAACAGTTCAGGGTCTGTGTATGTTCTGTGGGCTTTACTTACAAGCAGATGCTTTTTTGTCCCATAGGGTGTTTACACGAATTGAGCTGTTACAATGATGAATAAAATTCCATATGCTATATTCCGTTGTGTTATTTGTGCTCATGGATGTTGTAATCTAATGTGTTAATGATTTGTCAAGTTCTACCCTGAAAGAATCAATCGTTGTCCCACAAACAACATGAGATGGGAAGGAATTCCAGACAGTGCACATTGACGGCGAAGGAATGACTTCGACAGTTCAGTCGAGATTTTTGCAGTAGTAACTTGAATGGATGTCCCCGTAGATGAATGTTTGATGCCAACGTCAAAAGTGGATGACAAGGGTGGTTTGGGTTATGTAATATGTGGTACACTAAAATGGAGTCTCCTCGAATCCGACTATACTGAACAGAGTATAGACTCAATGACCGCAGTTTCCCCACGTATGAATCATAATAGATTCCTGTGATCATCTTCGTGGCGAGCCTTTGTGGATGCTCCAAAATCTTACGATCACGTAACCATGGATTTCAGGTTTG